ATATATCTAAGTACTCCATATACATACATTTGACGTTTGCCCTCGTATACGAGGAGATTGACATTTCGCTAGTAAAGTGAATAAATTATTCAAAAATCGTTTCGTAAAATATGTACGAATGGTGGATAACAAATAATCTAATAGGAGAAACATACAAATCCAAGAGGTCGTGAATATCTATATAGGCTATAACATGAAATGTGTAATATTTACGAATYGTACAGAATAAAGTATAGTGTTGTATCTACGCCGTATCATCGTTGTAGCGTTTCTGCTGTTATAATATACTATGTAATGGTAACAACAGTATTAATGTACAGGGTGGATTTTTTTAAGGTAAACAGTATATCATTAATTCCAAGAAAACAATTGGCTACATAATTTKTTCATAATTTAAATATTGGATATTGCGACAAAGTATTATAATCCTATTTTTTTTTTTTGTTATTTTTATCTAGTATTTAAACTTTACTAGACTAAGAAGTGACCGATATTTAGTGTGGTACCCTTGTATCACTCCATTCCTCATTCTGTTAATTAAACCCTTTTAAACAGTTTCCCAACTGATAAGCCGTGACATATTAGTCTGTTGTGAGATCTCCATAGGTATGTCATGATTAATAATAAACATACAAAAAAAATATTATTTTGCATGAATTTTTCTAAACTAAATAAACATATTATTTTAAATTGTATGTTAGTAATCAATTGACACAAAACTATTTTTGTATTAATATCATAAAAGCCAATCTCAAGTGTACCACAGATAAATATGGGTTAAGACTAATGTGCCACAAAGGTGAAAGGTTGGTTGACTTAATCACTTGAAATTCAAACTTCGATGTTTAAATATTAAAAATTGAAATTATCAACAAAAAAGTCTGGTTGGGAAAGTTCGATCAACAATGTATACTATTACAAAAAAAAAAACATTTATATCAAATTCTAACGATAAAAAATGTTGAACATATTTTTTTTCAAATAATATGTGGTTTTGCAACAACATAAAACTATGTTTAAAAAAATGATTAAGAATAGGTAAGTATTAAGACTTGATGTGGAACCTATAGTGATTAGTTTTGAAAAATTACCATGTACCCATACAACATTAATTATTAGTGATTTTATTTGTGAGAAAGAGGGTGAAGAAAATATAAAAGAATTTGCTGCCATCTTTTAAACATAGCTTAAAGTGTTACTTTTGGTATTTATTAAGATCAGATGAACTATTACTATCGTGGGATTTACTTAATCTTCATATATATTTTTAATTGTTTGGTTATAAAATAATTTGATGTAGACATATTATTATAATATAAATATGGTTTGTATAAAATAAATATTATGGTAGTCCATAGTGGTACTACATTAAGTTATTTTTACTTGTACTATTACTATGAATATAAGTAAGTATATAATTTGATATTAATATWAAATAAAATACATAATGCTGTGCATAGTTTTTAACATCCAGAATTCAGGAAATATATTGAGTTTGAGTATTTAAAAATATGAATTTTGATGAACTAATATTAATGATACATTTATAACCAATTTTAGTGGTGGAGAATCTCACCCCTTAAATCATATTCAAAAGCGTCACWATAGTAAGATAAATAAACTCTGATTTGTTTTTAAAAGACAGTTAAAATAATTTAGCAGCTTGAAATGTCAAATGTCACTATTGACGTCATCGCTGCTGAACGCTCACTAAATCGTGTCGATAACATGGAATGAAACCCACACAAAATATACTAAAGACAATAATTATTGTTGTGGACCTCGATATCTACGTCAATACTAATACTCTTAAATTTTAACTCCAAACACAATATCAAACAGGCATGACATATATATTACTTCCTTGTTCCTACCACGGTACAATGTGTGCAATACGTATATTGGCATTTAGAGGTATATGTGTCAAGCGGGAAGTGAATACAATTCATTATTATACTACACTTGAGCAGCTGAAAATCGATTCAAATTAAGTAAGTTTAGTTAAAATTAAAAATTAAAAAAAAAAGTACAACATTTATGTCGAAAATATAATAAAAATATGTATAGTAGTCAATAAAGGAGATAAATATTTGTATGAATTCGTATAATGCGTATAATTATTATATTTTATTATGCGTAATGAGTATATTACCATCAGTTTATTTTTGGCACGACTAGAAATCGTTGGAAACATTTTTTTTATCTACGTGCAATTCGTATAAGGAAATCGTATGAGTATGCACACAAAACTAGTTTTTTTTTGGCAATCTTGTGCGAATAAATTGTTGTCAATGTATAATATGTCCAATGAGTAGGTAATTATACGAAAAAAATTGTTTTCAATTTTCCAACGACTTCAGTGGAAACGTCTATGATCGTACACAACTTTAAGTCCATTTAAGTTAAAAATATATTTATATTATTTACTGGTTACTCTTTTACAGTCTATCATAATTTTTAATAATTAACATATTAAAACAAACTACACGATATTTTTTCATGATAAATTACTTAAGTATAGGGACTATATGTAGGTTACATATGCTGCAAAGTGGAATCATATACCAGTACGAATATCTTTACGTTAACATTTTGTGCATGTTATAACAATATATTAATATCGTCAATCTGGTTTGAAGCTGGTTTTTCTAGAAAACTAAATAGGCCTGATTTGTAAAAAAATTGTATAAAAATATTAAAACGTGTTTTCAGTAAGTTATATAAGTTATATAAGTTATATAAGTTGTCATATATTATTAAACATTGTTAGAATTTGAATTCTAATAATTTTATTATAATTAACGTATTCGTTAAAATGAATAGTAATAATTGGAATATTATAAGATCTATGACAACTTATTTTTCCCAGTTAGCACTACATGTTTACATTTCTAGGACGGATAACGATGGATTGAGATGGAACTTTTTGACAAGCTCTAGTGTAGGTACCTACCTAAATACACATTCGTAAGAATAATCTATAAAACTCTCCCAGAACCCACATAGGTATGTAGAAAGACTTGTATATTTCTATAAACCGAAATATATATCTTTTTTTTATACCCTATTCGGGTATACCTATTGTTTTAAAGTAAATTGGATTCACATATTATGTGGTTCTAAAATCAAAACTTATACTAAGTAAACGAGCCATTTCAAAAACATTTTTTGTCATAATTATTTTATATTTATTTGTTATTTCGATTATTAGTCAATTATTATTTTAGAGTCARGTTATTAAGTCAAAATTACTTAAATAAAATAATAGGTCTACATCAGTATGGTATTAAAAATATATCTTATTATTTATAAGATTACAAGTCTTATTAGTACCTAACTACTCTATTACGTTCTGGCAAAGTTAAAAATTACAGTTACCTCCCCTATCAATGTATGTGTAGAATTAATTATTAAGATATCCCACAGCTTGAAAAAAAAGATCAAAATTAATCCAATAAAATCAATTTAAGAAATGTAATGTTATCCGAAAAATTTTCAAATTATATAATATAATATACACAATATACCAGATTTTCTTATATTTTTAATGGACAATGTTTCAATTGACGCTAATCTTTATGCTTTTTTTATTTATAATATACATATATGAAATATTTTACATTCTTTTAATGTTTAACTTTTGTTATACGTTTTATGAGTGAAAACCATACTAGTCATTATCTTGATGAAAGTCTGCGTAATAGGCACTGAACGATAAGAGCAATTTAAAAAAAAATGTTTCTGCGACAAAACGCTCACTTATACCTTCATTTCTTTATAATACCTACTATAATGCGCCGTAAAAATACGATGTACAATTATATGAAAATATGTTGKGATTGATAACAGCTTTGTTATGTTTTGCGCGACGAGTGTTACAAGTGTTTCTATCTACCTACATACAAGTATAATATATTCTACGCATGCTACTATTAATGACATTYAAATCAAGTAATCGAATATAAGATAGAAGGCCCTACATTTGTATAGAAAATGATATTTTGACTTTATTTTTAATACTTATTATTAAATATATTATTGTGGCTTGTGTTTAATATTCCCTTTCACCCTGTTAGTTATTATCGTAATGTCGACAATCGTCATAACGTAAAATGCCACAGAATAATTATTTTATTCAGATAGGTATTATTACAGTAGATACGATATAATACTCGACGCATTAATTTATTGCACGTGTATTTTATCGTATAGATAATTATATTATTCCTTATATAAAACGACACTTTTAGCAGTTTTAGCAAAAAAAAATACGAAATACAGAAAAAACATTATTCTTTATTTTATGATAGTGTAAAATGTTCTGATTTAGTTCTTATTGCGTATACTATYGTAAATTAACGTATATTAATAATTGTGTACTATAATTGTGCTATTTTATTATCTGAACTATATCAAAGTGTAGTTTTGTTTAATTTTAGGTACCTAATAGGTAATATTATAATTACATATTTAATGACCGATAAGTTTAATATTCAGACAAACGATTGGAGAACATTATATAACGACGAACTGTAGTCCCTTTTTCAAAAAAAAAAAAAAGGTTGATTTGGTTGAAAATTCCTGGAGGAAGAGTGATTTAATGATAAGATAGAYGATTTAGGAAAACCCAGTAGGAAGGACCACGGTTATGGTGGGGGCGTGGAGGACTGTGTAAAAAGGGATGAAGTAGCAGCAGAACCAAAAATAGTCATTGGCAAGAAGTAGTGAAGGATAGTTTCTAGTTAACGGTATGGTCTTCAATGACCGAGACCAAAAAAGAAGTTGAAGGAGGAAAAGAAACTGATTACATAAACTGAATTTATAATTATAAAGCTATTCTGTAGATATGGACGTATCTTACTTAGGTATTACGATACCTTACGACATTTTCTGAATCCCGATATCAAAATGACCTACTTATTATAATGTATTTAATAATTTACAATTTAATATTTCGCTATTTTAATCAGTACTTATTTTACTTTTACTATAATATTACTGTTTATTACCTAAACCTGCGAAACATATTTTCTCATAATGTACAACGTAGGTATAATATTATTAAATGTTATGCTTATAATAATGACACAATATTTAAGTATTTATAATATAGTATTGACTTTATTTGGTGTATTTCGACAATATTATATTCGATATATTTTATAAATGCTAAAAATCGGTTTAGGTTTCATTTAGACAGAACTGTTAGTCGTTAAATAGCTTAGGACCTATAAACAAAATTAATCAAATATTAGCTAATAATTTTCATGTAAAAATAGTCACATACAAGAAATTCCATGTACCAAAATAGCTAAAAGAAAACATGATCAAATATGAAAACGGTCAAGATGAAAAAAATTAGTTGACAATAATTTAGTATCAGTAACAGATGTCCCGGTACTGTATCGGAGTATTAAATACAATTTATTTATTTGAAAGTTATACTCAATTTTAAATTCACGTTCTAACTATTCTAAAACATAAATCTATGGGTTCTATACAAATAGGTAAGGAATGAAAATAATATATAAAGTAAACTTAAACCAAATATAAATAATAATATTAAACCATATGTTAATTAGAATATGTTTATTTTTAATACTGCCTCATAATTTAATAAAACACGTTTAAACATCAACGAATTTAAAATTTAAAACTCATTTAAATTGTATATTGTGTGTAACCATCAAGACAATGTCTCCTTATTTTTATTCTGCTTTAGTCATTGTTAATTTCAACATTATTGAACTTGAGAAATACGACAGTGAAACAATCTGATTCTATGGAGAAATAAGGYACATTTTCTATTACGCTTTCTAATGTTTCCAGATCGTTTTCGTTCTATATAATATAAAGCATAATTTTATATATTAAACGTAAGTGACTTAAAATCAATATCGTAAAATAATTTCATTTATTATGACAAAAATATTGCACCTACAAACATTTTATCATGATGTTACAAAATGCTGATRCCCTATGTATAGCAAATTGTTTGTATGGATAATATGTAAATATGAATTTTCATAAGTATAACGTAAAATAATATTATTGAATAATAAATCATATTTACTACATTGGTAAATGATTATAAAGTGAAAACACGTAGATGGCTTATGGGTTATTATTTTTAACGAAGGCCACTACATATTCAAAAATAAATAATCTAAATGTTTATCCACTAATTCAACACTAATTTTTTCTTCAATATCTTTAAATCATTTTTGTTTTGGTTCATATTTTCCTCTGGCCATTTTTGTAGCTTGAAATTATTTTTATTTAGACATTTTATTTGTGGCCATTTTTAATGTGGATATTTTTACCAATTATAATGGTAATCGGTAATCTGCCTATTAGATTAGAAAATATTTTGTATTTAACTGTTTTATTTTACTTCTAATCAACATCAGTCTTACGACGAGAATAATTAAAATAAGTTATTTTAAAAATTACCAAAATAATTAAATTTATATGAATATTCTAACTATACATTTGAATTATAAAAAAATAAAAAAAATATATGTTTCAAGGTCTTTCCGCGCACATCGCTTCCGCGCCTACCTTCCTCGTCCGGATTATTATTATATAATATAATATAAGCCATTTTATTATATCTCATAGTTTACATCATAATGTATCATGCAGGTAAATGCCACTTGAGTAAAAAAATAAACTAATTTTATAATAATAATTTTATGTGGGCTTAATTCAAGTTATGCTCTAAAATGAAATTGTGTATTGAATATATTATTATTATTTTGTTATTAGGTATATCATGTTCATGTAGTTAATAAAAAATAATGCATCGTTATCTAAATGGCATACACTATACATGCTCGATTCCCAATATAAATTATTTTATGTCTATTTATACGTTACTTCCCACGTTAAATAATATTTATTTAAATTTTTATATTATAAATTAGATACGTAAATTTTTCTTTTAACTTAATATAAGACAATTTAATATACATATTATATATATATATATATTATTAGTATTGTTTATTTAATTAATTAATTAAGTGTCTTACGTTTCAACATGAAGTTTCAAATATTTTTACATTGTTCTAAATGCATAATAAATAAAAATATAAATATACAATATAATACTATGTACATATTATTATCACAATAATATCATAAAAATTTCATCACTTTTCCTGGCTTATTTGCTTTCACAAATTKATCTAAATGGGATTTTCTTTGATTTATTAAATACTACATRTTTAGTTCAAACGGCACTATACAATAAATTTTAAAAGATATACTATGCTAGTTCACAACAATTAAACAATGATAGAATGCATATTTGCATGTGAATGATTGTGAATTACGTAAGCTCACTATTCAGTATTAAACTATAAAATGCACACTGTAATATGCACATMATTTATATTATTTTTATTTTTTGCTTTACATATTGACATAGTAAAATTTGCCAACTTTATTGCGTCTGTTTTATGTGGGATAATGGCTTTGGTCGTTGAAATTACTACCCCTGTAACTACGACATAATTGATCGTCTTAGAAAATATAATTTCCTAGACAGCTAAAAACAAAATGWTGATTTCACAGCAGATTAAGCTCATTATATTGCTTGATTCAGTGTTATTGTCCTTCCCAATCACGATTGAAGTATTGAAGGAGCAGCGTTGCCCCAATGTTTATCGCTATAATAGCTGTCGGACAGAAACGATATAATTATTTCTTATAAAACACACTATCAAACGGCGTAAATGCGTATGTTTCAGTGGCGTTAGCTGAAACCCTGAAGGCAGGGAGGATGGATAGTATGGCAATCACCACCCTCCTTGTGTCGGGTTTTTTGCTTTAACGGCTGTGCCCATCGATCCGACACACAGATAACTTTCAACTTTGGTGCAATTATTATAATATACATCTTTTATGTTTGTCAACTTTATCATATTGATCTCGTTCCATTTTGAGCGAACATAAAGCGAAACTGATCAAGAAAATATCTTCTTACACCACCACACTCTATAATTATTACCGTCATTTTTGATAATGAATAAACTAACAGAGATTAAAAACAAATCTTATCTACTATGGAAACTATCATTAACCATTACACTGTCAATTAAAATAATTTTCCATCTTTAGATGACTGGATTCACCACTAATCCACATATTTGGAGATATTTTCAATAATATAAAACATCTATGGAGTTAAATAAATTTCAGTAGTTACCTACCTATTATCATTGGTAATACTTAAGAGCTAAGAGTGGATGATTCGGACTCCATTTTTTTTAACTAACACAATAATAATTTACGACATTTGTGGACTACCTGAAAAAATAAGGGACTTCAGTATTCATATTTTTTCTTTGAAACTTCGCCACTGCCAATTATAATGATACACTTGTGTCCAGTATGAGAACAAACATATTTATTCATTACATTACGGCATAATATCTCGAACGTATACAAATCTTATTAAATGTAAGTGAGAATAAATACTTCAAACTTTATATAATATTATCAT